TGACTTTAATGGAAAAAATGAGGGACGGCAGCACCCATCCCTCCTCCCTCCCTCCCCACCCTCCCTCACCCCCTAAATATTGATATCCTTTGATGAATGACCGTTTTTTTCAGCCAATCACTACCTTGAATTGGAGCAATTTGCTTGACTTTTGCTTCCATTTCTAACTTAAATTTTACATTTCATGAATTTATGGACATGATTTTCTGTCTATGTAATTATTCGTATTGTGTGTGTGTGTGTGTGTGTGTGTGTATGTGTATGTGTGTATGCGGTGGTTCTCGTTCAGGCATTTTAGAATTGTCTTGGCCACCACAATTTTTCTTTTCTTATTCGGAATTTAGCAACTGAAATTTTTTTTTTTTTTGGCGATTTTTGTCCCTCACTTCCCTTTTTCTAGTAAAATGCTACTGGGACGCTCTCACACGCCGGTCTACCGTATACCAGCATCGTCTGTGTTTAACACTGATTTAGTTAGTAATTATGCTATTGATAACGATTCTGCGGTGCCGGTTGATAATAGTTATTGTATTAGTGGTAGCATTACTAACAATAATCATAACTTTAGTAACAGCGATGATAATGACATTAAAAACAATTATGACAGTAGCAATTATCGATAACAATAATAGTCGTAATAACAATGACAACAGTAGTGGTAATGGCGGCAATAATAATAGTAATGACAATAATAATAGCAGTGATAATATTATAATAATAGTAACAAACAATAATAGATGATAATGATGATAATAATAGTAATAATAATAAAAAATGAGTATCACACGGGATTTGTAACTAATTAGTAGCAATGATAATGTGGATAATAATGATAATAAAAATTACTATGATAATAAAAATAACAATAATAAAAAAAAGTGTTACAAGGGGATTGTAACCAACTAAAAACTTAAGAAAAATATGGCGTACGAACGAATGCTTTATATCTTCACGCAAGGAATCGTAATTAGAAACTGGCCGCAGTTAGCTAAAGCTTCTGTCTTAATTTCTAGGTAAAGATTGAACGGCCCTTAAAGGCAAGCCCTCCCAGTGTCTGAAAGGTAGTGAGTGCTGTTAAGTGCAAATTTTTGTTGGCCAGGTTTGCCATTATTGGATTTTTTTTTCCGTTTAATGGCTTTCGCTAGACGTTGAAATGGCCCTGGCTCTTTTCTTCTGAATTGCCAAGTGCTTGTAAGTTTAAAGAAAAATAAGCTCGGCTGTTGTTTGGCTGGGCCTGAATCTTGAAATGCCTTCTTGCCTTGATCGCAAGCAGTTGCTTTTTTTTATACAAATTTTTTCTTTCATTTACTGTTTCTTTTTAGAGCCGACACAATTTCACCGCGAAATTTCGAGGACGAATTGAATCGGGATATCGCGTCTCCTCCCGATGCGCCAGGTTGCATTTCAATTTCTACGCTTTTAAGTCATTCATTTTTTGCAAGAATAAATCCTTCCCAGTATTTGTTGGTTCTTGATATTTTAAACGGCCACGTGTTGAATCGCAGTTGTTTTGACCAACGCTGCTTCTCTAAGTGGTCAGCGTTTTGGCAATTTTGACATTCCTTTGCCGAAAGCTTATTAAAATTAAGTTTCTGGTATATTGCAACAGATGATAATTCATAGTTTGGATCCCCATGCGGGCAATTTTTCCATCAGTCTAGGTCTTGTGCTTTCATATGATATCAAATATTCGAATTGGGCGGACCTGTCCAGAATGCCTGGCGGCTTTCGTATTGTTCTTTTAACAAATCGTGGTTATCATTCAGTTGTTCGATTCGTCACGTCTGTTATTGATCATTCTTATCACTTGACCATTCCGGCTTCTCTTCCTGGCACACATTTATATTGTAAAACTTTTAATCCTCATAGGGCACCTACGACCGGTACTGCCCTTCTTGCTAGAACGTGATTGCGACTTGTCTTTGATTTCGTTGCAGCTTGCTGGTATTGAAAAATTCGCCTCTCCATTGATCTTTTTACCAGTAACTGTGGAATATTTATGAATATTTGGAGATAAATTAAGTTTTCGGCACTGGTTTTAACAATTCAAGTCTTTTTAGCTTCGTTAAATCGTCGCCGCTATGTAGTACCGCTTCCACTGTCAGTTCTGAACAACAGTATCTACTAGTGAAGAGGGTCTGGCATAGCTGTACTTAGAGTGCGAGAGCATCCCAGTAACATCACTAACTTGAGCTAGACACATCGACTGTCCTCCAGGCGGTCTTGATATCCTTTGTATAGTCTCGTATGAAAATCGCTAAAGTAAAACCAAATTAACGAACAGTAGTTATATTATGATATTCTGCAAAGGGCAACATTGCTTTCTTTGATAAATTTGAGTGTTGTTGCAGCTGCACCAACAGGCATGAGTGCTGACCCGAATCTGCGCCTGATTTGGATTGAAGCACTTGATCTTCGTGATTTGCAAGATCGCTCTGAACAAGGCGAATTTCTTGTTTTAAGGAAACTTCTCGGTATTGATGTTAGTTTTCCAGTAACACTGCAATGTTTAATTTATGTCTGCTTCATTTCTCCTCATAGTTGTGGTCATAAAGAAGAAGGCAGACACAGGAAATACAGTTCGTAAAATGAACGGCTTCTGAAAAAGTAATCTGTGTTTTATCCCATAG